GCCTCGCCGCTGCCCGAGGAGCCCTCGGCCGCCTCCGTGGCCAGCAGCCGCCTGCAGCTCAGCACCTCGCTCGCCTTCTCCGACCTCACCGAGGAGATGCTGGACGCCAGCACCGACGGGCTGCTCCGCGAGCTGGAGGACCTGCGCTCCGAGAACGACTATCTCAAGGTGGGTACGGCGTGGCGTGGTGTGACATCTCTGGGCTCGGTACGGCGTGGCATCCCCGGGCATGGGTCAGCCAGGGTCAGCATCTAAGGCCAGAGCGTAGTTCAATGTCCCTGGGCACGGCAGGGCGTCTGAGAGCATGGCTCAGCATGGCACAGCATCCCTGGGAATGGCATGGTATGGCATCCCAAAGCATGGCTCAGCATGGCGCGTCTGAGAGCATGGCTCAGCATGGCACAGCATCCCTGGCTGTAGCATGGCATGGTGAGGCATCCCAGGGCAAGGGTCAGCATGGCTCAGCACCCCTGGGCACAGCACAGCATCCCAAAGCAAGGATCATCACAGCATAGCATCCCTGGGCACTGCTCAGCATGGCACAGCATCCCTGGGCAATAGCAGTGCACAGCATCCCTGGGAATGGCATGGTATGGCATCCCAAAGCATGGCTCAGCATGGCACAGCATCCCTGGGAATGGCATGGTATGGCATCCCAAAGCATGGCTCAGCATGGCACAGCATCCCTGGGAATGGCATGGTATGGCATCCCAAAGCATGGCTCAGCATGGCACAGCATCCCTGGGAATGGCATGGTATGGCATCCCAAAGCATGGCTCAGCATGGCACAGCATCCCTGGGAATGGCATGGTATGGCATCCCAAAGCATGGCTCAGCATGGCACAGCATCCCTGGGAATGGCATGGTATGGCATCCCAAAGCATGGCTCAGCATGGCACAGCATCCCTGGGAATGGCATGGTATGGCATCCCAAAGCATGGCTCAGCATGGCTTAGCATCCCTAGACATGGCATGGCACTGCATCCCAAAGCATAGCTCACTGTGGCACAGCATCCTCAGGTAAAATGCAGTGCAGTGCAGTATCTCTGGGCATTGCTGGGCACAGGGCAGGTTGACTCAGCCCAGCATGGCCTGGCTCAGCCTGGCATGTCACTGAGTAAAGCCTGGCCTGAGTCAGTTGGGCAGCACGGCACAGTATGGCTGGGTGCAGGGCTTGGCATGGCTCAGCCCAGCATGGCATCACTGAACACAGCCTGGCATGGCATAACTGGGCTCAGCCCAGTGCAGCAGGACACAGCCAGGCATGCTGTGGCTGGGCTCAGCTTGGCTTGGCACAGTGTGGCATGGCTGGATGTAGGTCCTGGCTTGCCTAAGCCTGGTATGGTCCCACTGGACCTAGGGCAGAGCTCAGCTTGGCACAGCATGGTCCAGTCTGGTGTGGCATGGCTGGGGCCCACTCAGCTCAGCCTGCCATGACATGGTTTTACACAGAGCAGGCATTGGCACAACATGGACCTGCTTAACCTGGCATGACCTGGCACAGCACAGATGGGTGCAGCTTGGCTCAGCACAGCCTGGGCCTGGCACAGCTTAGCCAGGCACAGCTCAGCATGGCATGGCTGTGCTCAGCCCAGCTTGGCATGGCTAAGCCTGGATCAGCCTAGTTTGGCATCCTGGGACACAATATGGCATAACCTGACCCTGCACAGTTGAGCATCGCCCAGCCTGGCACAGGGTGGGATGCTCCCTGCTGCCCTCTCTGCCCTCTGATGCTGCCAGGCCCTGGGGAGATTTTCCAGCTCGCTTCTTCCCGCTGGATCCTGTGTTCCCTGGGGCCTTTTTCCAGGCATGCAACGTGGCTGCCTGGTTCATGGGCACGTGGTGAAGCCAGGGCAGACTTGCTGCAAGGGGACAGGGGCACAGAGATATTCTGCCTCTGGTCACACATCAGCCTGATGCACCTTGGCACATGCTACCTACAGCAGGGTGGGCACCAGCACACGCCACGTGCCACATGCCAGGGGATTGCAGGCATTTTGCATCCTCTGCTCTCCTTCAGGGTGGAGCTGTGGATGAGGTACTTGTGCAGTCACCTGCTGTGGCGGGCCGGGGGGGGGAGGGTGGGTACTGCATCTCCCTGGCTGCTCTTTGGATGTCCCAGGTTGGAAGTCAGGCCAGCTCTCACCTGTTGGTGCCCAAGTTAGTGAATGTGTTGGGATTGCATCTCCAAGGTGGCAGTTGTGCATTGGGTGACATGCTCAAAGATGCTCAATCGGGCCCTTTGTCCGTTAGCAAAGTCCCAGTTCACAGCTGGTGTCCCAACTCCTGCCAGAATTAGCAGCAACAGCTTGAGGGCTTTGATTTACTGGGAGCTGGAAAAATACAGATGAGGCCCCTCCGGTTTCCAAGAACATGCGTGCGAGCGCTGCCATTCCTGTGGACAGAGCAATTGCTTCCTCCATTTCCATGTCATCTGCTTCCTGGCAAGCTGCAGGCATGTGGGGTGCGAGTGTTTTACCTGCCATGAGGTGTGGCAGCTGAAATCCCCTGGCCAGGAGCAGTGGGACAGCAGAGAGCTGCCAGAGGTGTGCACCAAGAATGACCATGGATGGGGATGCTGGTGGCATCCTCCCTCCTTTGCCAGCACATGTGTCTCCTCCCTGGCATGTGCATCCTGCTTATAGCCATGTTTCCATGTTGTAGCTCCAGGAGATGGCTGGGGTGGTACCCTGGCTCCAGCTGAGCAGAAACCCAGAGCACACTCCCCTTGTGCTCCAAAAAGTGTTGGAAGATTTGCCTAGTTTCTCCAGCAAGGAGCAGAAAACTGGGCTGGGCTACAGCAGAGTGCTGGCTTAAGCCATCTATGCTAAAAAAAAATCAGGGATTTGAGCACTTAGAGGCAAAATAAAGCCTTAACCCAAGTGACTGGCTTTGCCCACTTTGCCGTGGAGCTCTTCTTCCCTTGGGTGTGGATGAATCAGACTTATCTGTAGTGACTTATTTCCTAGGACTCACCCAAATAGCTGCAAATGAATATTTCTTCATTTATTCACCAGAGGCAGCTAAAACCTCGTGCATATTTAAAGCAAGATGAGGATTTTTGGGGGTGGGAGGGTTTGGGTGACGTTTTGGCACGAGCCAGACGTGTGTGGTGCTACTACTACGCGTGTGTGATGCACGCTGGGTTTGGGAGCTTCCCAGCACAGCACATCGCAGCGCTCCAGCAGTGCCAGCTCACGTCACATCTTGCCTCAGCTGCCATATAAAATGTACGTGTTAAAGAACACTTAACCCCTCTCTCTTTGCAACTCAGATTTTTGCAAGGCTCTGCCTTCCTCTTGCCACTCTGGGTATATCAGGTGGGCTGGGATCTCCTCGTGCCCCTGCTCTCAGGCCCCTGCATGGCTGTGACCCCCCCCTAAATTTCAAGCCTTTCCCCAGAAAGGTCTGTTTCTCATGCTCAGGTTGGCAGACTGGTGAGGGAGGAGGTGTGGTGGGTGTCCTTGCCCCGTCTCTGCTGCTGAGCCGTGCGATGGAGAGCAGCTCCCAGCCCTGCTCAGCGGGCTGGAAAATGTGAGATGTGATACGGCAGCAGCTGCGGAGGGACAGGCAGACAAAGAATGGGCACGGGAGAGGGTTTGGAGTGAGGGGAGGGGATGCTTGCAAACCCTTTCCTCTCCTTTCTGCAGGAAGGGGTTTAGGCAAGAGCCATGTAATGCTGGGAGTGCAGTCCTGCCTGCCCCTTCCTGCTTACTGTCCCCCTCCTGCTCCCTGCCCTGAGTGATCCCACATCCCCTGGGGTTTGCATGCATTTCCCAGCTCTGTGGAGAAACATGTAGAGTGGGTGATTGTCTCATTTCCCCTAAGGCAGTCAGGAACCAGCACATGGCACCAGCAAGGGCTCACTGAGAGCATCCTGCAGGGGCACTGGGGGCTGCAACAGGGCAGCCTGCTTGGCACTGAGTCCCTGCTCTACAGCTGCTCAGGTTTTGTCTGGCCACAGGGGCAGGGACCATGCCTGAGAGCCCCAATAACCACCTGCAGAGCCAGAGTACAGGGCTCTGACGTGCATCACCCCACCAGCAGCCACCCTGGAAGGGGCTTTGCAGCCTTTTGAGATGGTGCATGACACGGCTTGGGCTGCAGAGAGCCCCCAGCTGTTTGCCTGTTAATTTATGGGGGCAGGTGTAAAGCTGAGAAATGTTGATTTTTCCCTCACTGACATGCTGTGCTCTCTGCTGAGCAGGAGTTGGTGTGCTGGCCAGGGGCAGGGCTCAGCCCACAGGCTGCTGCACTGAGCTCCAGCATGACATGGAGGGAAGGATGGCCAGTGTTTGCTGTCAGAGCTGGGCTACGGCTGCTATTAATGCCCCTAAAGAAACCCCTGTGTGTGACATGGGTGTGCCTTGCCCATCCTTCCAGCCACTGCACCCCGGGGTGCAATTTGCAGGGATCCCCTTGCTGGCAAGGGACATGCTTGGGCACCGTGGGCAATTTCCTTAAAAAATCCCCTCTGATTTTATTTTTTTCCCTAGCAAATTCTAGCATAATTCCCTCTCCTGCCTGACGGGCGCTCAGAGTTAATTGAAAGCTGCTGCTTTTGTCCTGTAATCTCGGAGGAAGCAGCGCTTGTTGCTCCTGCACGGTAATCCCTGTCTTTGCACGAGGGATCGCCGAGAGCCACAGGCACACCCGCTGCCAGCACGGCCCGAGCTCTGCACAAAGGATCAGTGCAAAACAGCTTCCACCCTTCCTCCTCTGCATCTCTCGAGGAGGTTTGGGGCTGTGAGTGGGGGATGCAGAAGGGCTGTCCCCCCGAAGAGCTGCCTGTCCCCCACGGGCTGGGGCTGCTGCTTGGCTGTGCCCCAGAGCCTGGGGCTGCCAAAGCGAGGGCGTGTGTGCTGTCAGCAGCACCACAGCCATCCATGTCGGCATTTGCATGATCCTGTTTTGTATCCCTTGCTGCTTTCTGCTTCCCAGAGATAGCGGGTCCCGCTGAGGAGCTGCTGGCGTTGCGCAGCGCCAGTCCCTGCTCTGCTCTGAGCTTGCTGCATTCTTGCAGTCGTGTGTAACTGCGCAGGAAATCCGAGGGTTTAACTCTTCTGCTGCAACCTGTGATAGGTCTGATCTGTATTCTGCACTCTGCCATCTCCACTGGTCCTCCTTCTGCCCTGCCACCACTCAGGGCTGTCACCCTAAAGCTCAGCCCTTTCCAGGTCTTGCTCTTCCTGGAAGAGCTGATGTCCTGCAAGTGGACATAATGGACACAGCTGTTACCTTCTTCTGCTTGGAAAATGCATGAGGTTTTTTTCTGAGCAGGAACCAGGCAGTTTGCATCCCACCTTTTCACTTCTTAGTTCCTTAATAACCTCCTCAGGGAGACAGTGTCTCTGAGGTATGTGCGGAGGAGGCTGAAGCTAGGTTGTCTCTTGGGTTCCTGTATCGAGTGTAACCTGGCTCCTGCAGGCACAAAATTGTTTGCTTCTGCACACAATCCCTTGGGCATTCAAATGAGTCTCCCTGGACTGCAGATTCCCAGTGTCTTTTCCAAGACAGGTGATTTCTAGTGTAAAAACACCATGAAATCTTTGCTGCTGTGGAGATGGTATGAGCAGGATGCAGTGGTGGGTAATCGTGGAGGACAAAGCAGGGGAGTAGCCCATGGGTGCTGGAAGGCTGTGACTCCACACAGGGGTGGGCACTCTGTTTATGGGACAAGTGGCTGAGCATGGCAGCCACAATGGACAGTGGTGTTGGAGAGAAGTCATTTATCTCATCCTCAGTGTTTTCCACCTCATCTCCATTTCATGCTCCATTTAGCATCACTTAGGATGCTCCATGCTTGCAATACCATCCCTGAATTTGGGGTGTTTCTGTGGGATTTCTCCCTGCTCCTGGCTCTGCTCTCACCTTTAACCAAACGGATTTCTTGCTAAGTTGGGCATCAGCTCCAGAAAATGTGCACATGCAAGGGGTGAGGCTCAGTGGCTGTCACAGACCCTGGAGCCATAAGGAGCCCCCTGTGCACCCCATGTCCTGCCTCCAGACCCCACAGACTGCTCTGCTGCTGCAGCATGGCCATGCAGGGGGTCAGCTCTGCCATTCTAAGCTCCCTGTTAGCTGGCATTTTTCCACTCTCTGATCCTAATCCCCTCATTATGGTTTAGTAGCATGGCTTGCCTCCGTGGGGCAAGCTGGGCTGGGCTTGGGTGATGCTGGGCTGCAGCCACTCGAAGGGTTTATTGGTGTTATGGGGTGAGGGTCAATTCCTGCAACTGGAGCAAAGACAGGCACTGCTTTCCTGCCCCCCCACCAGTGGCAGCTCTGCTGCAACCCATCCCCCCACTCCATGGGGAACACCCTGTGACAGAGCTGCTCAGGGCTGTGCCACTGAGGTATGCCCAGGCAGCGGATCACGTCGGACACAGCCTCCCCCTAAAATAACGGTTGCTACAACCCAAGGCATAAACAAGCAGGAGCTCTTAGCAGGGCAAGCCCAGGCTTCCTTCCAGCAAATGCAAGGTTTGGTTGGGCTTTTTCCAAGGTCTCTGCTCCCTGCCCTGCTTGGCTGCTGCCTGGGGAAGCTGCATGGCAAATGGGAGCTGGAGCAGCCAGGGCTGGAGCAGGACTGCAATCGTATTCAAGCCACGATTCGCCTGACTTTGGCGGTGAAAGGCTGTTTTCCACCAGCCATTGCAGAGTGCCTCCTCACCTGCAATTTATAATGCTTTTTTTCCATGAAAGCTCCCAAGGAATAAATGCCATAAACCATCTCCACAGGCTGGTTTGGCGTGAGGGGGTTTTGCTGGTGTCCCCGTGGCTGTGGCGCTGCCCTGGAGGGTGGCAGTGCTGGTGGTGGGTTCCTGTTGAGTTTGTCACCCCAGGGTGCATCACAGCCATCACAGGGATGTCTGTTGGCATGTGTGGTTCGACCCTGGGGGGTTTCATGCCTGATCTGTTTGGAGGGGAGTTTTAAATCATGCCTGCAGTGATGCCCCTTCACAGAACCATCTCAGGCTGTCCATGGAGCTGTCTGGCTGGGTGTCCCTGTGACACGCCACTGCCTGTCTCAGGGCTTCGGGGCTGTTTCTGCACTGCTGTTGTTCTCAATATCCCCTAGCAAGAAGCAGAGCAGCGGAGGGTGGCAGGTCATTGGTGGCCATGGTGCCACTGGGCTCTGGCAGCCCAGGCCAGGAGATAATCCAGGATTGTCTAATTGACGTTCCTTCTTTGTCACGAAGTGTTTAAAGCCAACAGTGAGTGACTGTGACTTGTCCCCGCAGCTGCCAGCCCCTCCCTGGGCTCAGCTTCGCCTTTCGGGAGAGTTCTTGCAGCTGGGGCTTTGTCCAGGCTGGGGGAGCGCAGCAGCCAGTGTGCCAGTGCCTGGCAGAGCTGGCACAGAGCTGCAGTCTCAGGCTGTAGGCAGGTCACTGTCAGGGTCCTGTCCCCCTCTGCCTGGGGCAAATCAGGGCTGAGCACCCCCAATACCTGTGCTGGATCCTCTTGTCCCTTGCCTGACCATGCTGTGATGTGAGGTGGCAGGGTTAGCCCCTCACTTCTCAAGTGGCAATTGCATTTGGCAGCGACACAAGATCTTTAGTGGCAGCTTTTTTGGCAGGAAAGCAGATGCTTGATCCCTTCCCAGGAGCATGCTGGGTCCACCGGGTCTGGTTGAGAACAGCCGGTGTGATGGTTGGAGTGTTTGTTGGAGGATTTGGGTTGAGACAATGTTCATGGCGACATGAAAAAAGCTTTGGGCAGTGCAGGGTGGGTCCCCAGGGATAAGAGGGGACAGTCCTTGAGCATCTCGAGTGGCCACAGCCCTGTGCTGCATGGGGAGCAGACACTGGAGACCTCATAGCAGTTGCGTGCTGCAGCCCCAGAGGAGGCTCTGGCTTGGCGCTGGTGCCAGCAGGATGTCACCCTTGGCCCTGCTCCATGCTAGAGGTTCTGCTGGGCTAGAGGAGGTTGATGACTGGCAGAGCTGATGAGACTGAGAAGGGGTGGAACAGAGGACCCAACCCAGTGACTCCTGCTTGGCTGCAAAACAAGGGGCAACCTCTGGTCCCCAGTGCTGGTGGCATCTCATTCATGTCCCCACGTTGCCTCCCCTGTCCTCGCCTGCCATCTCCTCCTTCCCTCGCCTGCCTCTCTGACACATCTTTTCCAAACATAACCTAATTTTCTCCCCGTGGCTGCCGCCTGTGCTGCTCCTGCAGCTCCTCTCCCTCCCCCACCTTCCTCTTTCTTTTACTACAAATACTCTCAGGCGCCTGTGTTGGCTGTTCCCCGAGGGTAGTTGGCTCGCCCCTGGGTGATGGTGCCCAACTGACTCTGAGCCATTTTCCTGCAAGGTCCAGACCTTGCTTGACCTGAGGGGTAAAATGTCTGTGAAAGTGGCTTGTGGCATGAAGGAGAGCAGGGTGGGGAGGTGTCCCGTGAGTCTGTCCCCTCTAACACACGTCTCCCTGCAGGATGAGATCGAAGAGCTGCGCGCCGAGATGCTGGAGATGAGGGATGTCTATATGGAGGAGGATGTGTACCAGCTGCAGGAGCTCCGGCAGCAGCTGGACCAGGCCAGCAAGACATGCCGCATCCTGCAGTACAGGCTGCGCAAGGCTGAGCGCCGCAGCCTGCGCGTGGCACAGACAGGCCAGGTGGACGGAGAGCTCATCCACAGCCTCGAGCAGGACGTCAAGGTGAGGCTGGGAGAGGACAGCCCCACCTGGACAGTCCCTCCAAAGTGGTTTTTGATGAGTTGTGGACATGGGGGTGGCAGAGGATGATGGGGTGCAGGAAGGTCTGCAGGGCTGTGGGGCTGTTAATGGGGATATTGTGATTCCCCACTAGTAGTGGTGGTGTGAGAAGTAGGGAGCAGTGCTTTCAGCTCACAGGTGGTGTGAGGAGATCCTGGGGGTGGAGAGGGCCAGCATTGTCCAAGGATGGGGATTTTACAGGGCCATATGTGAGGTTCATCCTGTGCAGACTGGAGCCCAGCCTGGCTGTGTACCTCACCCTGCATCGATGGAGGTGCGATGGGGCCACCACTGAGTGTGCAGGGAGGGAGTGTGGGGACCAGCACCCTGGGGACTGGGAGCTGCTCCTCTCGGCCATCAGAAAAACCTTGCAGAGCCCCAGGCATCACAGCATGCTGGGCTGGGGCAGGGACAAGGGCATTTCTGTGGGGTGACGTTGCTTGGCCCTCGCCAGCCGCTGGCCTGGAGGAGCCGCTGGGGCCCGTGAGTGTTTGCTGAGGGCTCTTACTGACGCAACTGCTGCCAAGAGGGAGGTGCAGTGGCAGTCGGAGACAGCTCGGGGTGGATGGGTAACAGCTCGAGAACTAACTTTGTTTTTTGAGCAGAAAACAGCCGGTCCTGGAGCCAAGACATGCCACAAGTGTGGGGCTGTGAGCCTGCCTTGTGCTGCCCATCCCTGCTGGGGCCCAGATCCTCTCCCCAAATTGCCCATCAGCCCCAAGCTTGGGCTGCTGCTGCCAAAAACATCCTCTCCAGCTTCTCCCTTTCTGGGAAAAAAAGTACAGCCCATCCTCAGGGGAACAGGAGCCTGACCCCATGGCCTGAGCCCCCCAGCCCTGCAGTGGCGTTTACTGCTGCCTCTACAGTGCTGGTATCCCAGGTCTGGACTGGGGACCAGGGGCACTGGGGACAATTTTTCCCTTCCTGCAGATGCAGGAGTGAGTGCTTTGTGCTGTTAAACTCCCTTTATGCCAGGAGTTGCTCCCACGAAGGGATCTGGAGGGGAGTGGCTGTGGAGTGGATGAAGGAGCCTTTAACCCTGGGGGCAGCTGCTGGTCTTCTGTAACGCGATGCAGCAGCTCGCCTTTCTCCTGGCCGCTACAGCTGCGGCCCGCAGTGAGAGGCTGCCTGCTCTGGGGCTGCCTGCTGGCTTTTCCAGCCTTCTGGAGGGTTTTTCTAGCCTTACAGTGTGGGAAAAGGGTAGAAAAGGGCAACATGCATCCCACAGCATCATTTTCGGGCTGGGGAAAGCAGTTTGGCCAGGGAGTGGGGGCATAGGGCAGCCTTGTGGCTGGCAAAGGGGGAACAGCAGTCACAACATGTGATTGAGGAGGGACACACAGGGGTCAGGGTGTCACCCACAGTGTCTCCTCCAAACGGTCTCAGTAACAGCATGATGATCTCTGCATGAGAGCTGTAGGTGCCCAGGAGCCACAGTCCCAGCGCCATGCACATTGTGCCCAGTCTGGTGAGGCCCTGTCTTGTCTCCAGGTGGCCAAGGACGTCTCTGTGCGGCTCCACAATGAGCTGGAGGTGGTGGAGAAGAAGAGGATCAAGCTGGAGGAGGAGAACGAGGACCTGCGTCAGCGGCTCATTGAGACTGAGCTGGCCAAGCAGGTGGTGCAGAACGAGATGGACAAGCTCCGAGAGGTGAGGGGGACACGGGAGGGGAGACCGAGAGGCGTCCCTAAGGCTCTGCTCATAGCAGGTGTCCTGGCCCTCTTCCATGGGATCCCCCAACCCTGCTTGAGTCACTGAAACCCAAACCGTGCCGCAGATGCTTGCGAAACCCGAGCGGTGCCTGCCCTCGGCACGTTTCATCCCACCCTGCGGGCACGGGCTGGCTCTACCCCATCCAGGGGGGCTGCAGGACATCCCCCCTGTGCTAGAGCCACTGTATATCCTCAGCCACTTGCTCAGCTTGGCCCCCTGGGCCGTGCCAACTCCCACTGGGCAAGGCCTGGTGCGATGTGTGGGGTCTGCCGTGTCCCTGGCACAGTGCCTGGTGCTGGCCATATCCTGACCACATGCTGCTGGTTCAAAGTGGGCTGAGCTGTGGGGCTGCATGGCAGCTATGTCCCAGCAGTGTCCCAGTGGTCTCCCAGTGGTGTCTCAGTGGTGCTGTGGAGCTCGGTGGGTGCCCAATCTCCTCTGTGTCCTGGGCAGTCATGTGCCACACGTCTACCCATATTGGTCCGAGACACTCCATGCTATGCCGTGTTTGGGACCAGCTCCCAACCAGGAACAATGTCATCCTGCATGCCATGTTTGGGACCGGCTCCCAACCAGGAACAATGTCATCCTGGATGACAGGAATGGCATCCCGGTGACAGCGTGGGCTTGTGATCCATTGCAGCACTTGTAACCCACTTCCTTACTGCCCGGGATGCTTTTGGTCCCCGGAGAGCCCCGGGAAGCATCGCAGGTTGAGCCGACAGAGCAGCGTGGGGGAGGAAACACGAGGAAGGGAAGGCTCTCACTTCCCCCACAGAGCTCCCTGCACACGAATTAGGATCGCTGGGGCCAGCTCTGCTTCCTGCCAGGACCAGCTCCTGGGAAGGCACAGGTCCCTGCTGTTGGAACCCATCCCCTCTCAGCCACCTCCCTGCAGGGTGGCAGGGAGCAGCATCCCCCACTCGGGGTGTCTGTCCCTCAGCTGCGCAGGCTCTGCTAACAGCCGTGAAATGGGTTTCCCTGCAGCCGGGAGTACGGGCTGAATAACAAATGGCAGCAGCGGGAGCTGGGCTGGAGCTCACCCGCGCTTGGAAAACAGGCAGAGAAAATGGTTGTGTGGTCAGTGTGCAGGGAGCCCTGAGCTGCAGCTGCTGCCTTGCCCTGGCTAGAGAGCGTGGGACAGGATACAGCCCCTCTCTGCAGCTGCCTGAGCCCAGAGGGGACACCGCTGGCTGGCACCAGCTCAGAGAGGGTCCCCAAGCTCGGGATGGCATAGCCCCAGGCTAGCAAGGGCGCTGGGGTTACTCACTGATTGCAGAGCGCTAATTAGGCAAACATTAGACAAAATGAGCTAAGAGGCCTCCTCCACCTCCTCCCTGCTGCTGGAGGGCTCGGAGCGTGGCAGAGCTTGTTAGCAGCCAAGCCAACGCAGATGGAGGCTGCGCAGGGCTGGGCTCACCCCTTAGGGGTGATTATTTCTCCCTTCCACGAGGTTTCTCCCATAATTGGATAATTGTCTGGAGATCATCCCCAAAGGCACATGTATTTTCCCCTCCACTCAACCCCTCTGTGGCATCTCCTGGGAGGCAGGAGAAGGCTGGGACCAGTGCAGGTACCCCATGCCAAGCCTACCACATCAAGCTCAGCTGCAATGAGACCATTTTAGGCAAGGCCACCCACCCCAAGGGATGCACCCAAGCTGGAGCGATGACAGCTGCATCTGACCCAGGGTGCTGTGTTTGGGGCTGGGTGATGCCCTTTGCCAGCCTCAGTCCCCAGCACAGTGTGTGCAAGGGATGTCGACGTGGCACATCCAGTCCCTGGGAGAGGCTCTGCAGCTCCAGCAGCTCCAGTGATGGTCATGGCCTTAATAGGAAAGCCTGGAGCCTAGCACCTTGGCACAGGCAGCAGCTTACATTTCACAGCTGCTTGCTTTGGCTGCTGGGCCTCAATGCCAGCTTGGAAATAGGTCCAGGGCAGCTGCATGGATCGACTGGTGCTCATAGGGAGCTGTGTGGAAGTTCTTGAGGGTTTTCCCCCAGCTCCCCTCCTCAGATAACTGGCCCTGCTCTGGATACCCACATTTCTCCCTTGCTTTAGGTCTCCCTTACTGCTGTCTGGCATTCCCATCTCCGCACTAGCTGTCCTCACTTGTCTGGACATTCTCTCTTGTGTCCCCAGAGACCCTGAGCTCAGAGTCAGGATC